CCCCAAAACCCCAAAACCCCAAAACCCCAAAACCCCTTGTGAGTTATAGATAATTGAAATTATACTTAGTTATTGTGTTTATGCTGACTTTAATCCATATATGCATCTGCTATGTTTTGCATCTTCTCTCTTGTTTCAATGAGATCATCTTCTTCCATATAATCCTCTTTTATAAATTGTTGTCTGTGCTTATAAGGAATGTTTTTAACTGTTTTTAGGAACACATTTTCGATTATCATTCCAATATCTCCGGTGCAGTAAAGAGAAGATAGAGTGCTGATGTTGTTCATAAATTCTTTAGTATCTTTGTGAGCCAATTCTCCATTACAGTTAAATTTAGGTGATAAAAATCTTGGAAATGGTATTGGTAGCAAAGTTCTTTCCTCAATCAGATTAATATTGTATCATCCAAATTTTTCATTTCAGTAATCCCTTGCTTGGTCTAAAACTTTTGCATGTCCAAACTTGTTATGGACAGATCCACTCCAATTCATTTGGATATGATAAGGCTTTGATTTTTGGAGGGGTCCCCAAAATGGAGACGATAAATGAATGAACTCTTTCTTTGTCCATCATTCTTCAAGTTGGTTTTCTTCGAACATTTTATTGATTCCTCCACTAAACTCTGGTTCTTTAATAAACGGAACTTTAATGTTGTTCAAGATTATATTTGCTTTATCAAACATGACCAAAGGATTGAGAATAGTATCAACAGTATGAGCTGGCTTTCTACTTCTAAGAGGTGCCCAGAAATCATTCAAAGCTAAGGCTGGGATCGAACTAGTATTAAACAGAGAGTCTCCTTTGAAATCTGTGATATATTCTCCGAATCTTTTAATTTGTCCTTGGTAATTCAGATCAATAGGAATATTTGCATTTACCAATTCGTTAAATGAGGCAACAGCAAATGGAAGGTTATAACTTCTAAGTTCTTTTGTAATTGATTGTCTTTCGTCAGTAAACATGTTTGTGTTTACATCAGGACCAGTTAAACTGTAGAGAACAATTGTTTTCTTTGGAATTTCATCTTTAATTTCTTCGATATATTTTGCAGCAAAAGATCCGAATCCTCAGTCAATATCTGCAAGGACTCGAAGAGCCTGCATATTGTCTGTTTTCTCAAGCATGTTTCTAAACTGATCTGTCACATCTTCAAGGAGATACTTGTCCTGAAGCATCAATCCTCCTTCGCTAAAAATGGACCAGCTTCCTTGATGATATGGAATTTCAATTCTGCTCTTCGGGCTAAGTTGGGGTTGTAAGTAATCAGTAAAGTATCTGACATTTCCTTCATCAAACTTGAATTTTCTGTATAAATCTTCTCATTTCTCTGGCTCTTTAGACTCTTCTTTAGCTTCTTCTTGCTTTTTGTCCTCTTCCTCATGTTGCATGCTAGCTTTCAAGAATTCCGCGAACATATTCTGACGATTATCGCTTGATGCCTTATTCAATAGCATCGAGGAATCTAAAGTTAAAGAATTTTAGTTACATCTCTCTTGCTCTTCTTGCTCTTGTTGTTTACGATGTTTCTCTGCCTCGATTTCTTCATCGATACCATCTAAGGCATTTGCAAATTCTCTATAAAAATTAGGAAAGAGCATATTACGATTTTTCAATGTAGTCCTGCTCATTTACAATATATCCTCCCTGCCATTGGTTTATTATATCGTCCTGAGCCTCTAGAGGATCAATTCTTTCTTCATTGAAGCAACCAAAATAGTTCCCAAACATGTCCTTTCTGTCAAAAAATATTGTGAATGGGTAGTATCCTTCTTTATGATCAAGTTCATACATCTCGGTACTTGGCTGGATCTCGGGATCTACATAAATATTTAATATTTCTACAGCTCCTTTGAAGGAAATGGAACTCTAAGAGTTTCCTAAGTATAATAGGGCTTACTTTTCAACTTCTCATCTTGGATGTTCCAGTAGTGAGTCATTACATGGTTAGTCAAGTTTCCGAATTGGAGTGTTACTATTTCCATTTCAATTAATAATATTGATGATGGGGTTTTGGGGTTTTGGGGTTTTGGGGTTTTGGGG